CCGCAGCGCAGCCACCCTCCACTGACATTATGAATGTAAGGTGTATAGTATTACACACACGGCAGGGATCCGTTATCAGTATTGATTTTCATCTGATTTTCAAATAAAAAAGTCTTGGCTTTCTGAAATATTAAACTTGATTTCCGAAATTCAGGATGATAAATCGCCGCAACTTGGAGCTTGTAATTATAGAGAACGGAGTAAACTTGACGTCACAGCAGGCGATCGACACAGCCCGGTGATTTCTCCGGGACGTGTTTCCCCGAGAAACAAACAATACAACAACGCAAAAATACACAACCACCAGACCAAAACCAAACCAAAATCGTCTTCCCCTCCGTAAGTATTTTGATCATTATGATAATAATACATCCCAGATCGATGATTCCAGGAGACGAAACTTTTCAAAGGCCTTATTTCTCAAAATGTGACTCGTGACAGTCCATTATACTACTGTGACTATCTTTGACTTAATATTGGAGTAAACACAAATCCTGATAATCATTAGAAAGCTAAATCTACCTCCTTTCCACTGGTACTCAACTCAAAAATTTCTTCTCGGGATCAGATGCGACTAGGATGGCCGAATAGAGGCAGGGTCACCAATTTACTTATTGTGACAATTTGCCAATGAAAAGACCAAAACCAAAATATGTAAGTCTCCGTCTGCGATAGCTCGGAAACAGCACTAACCTTAACACTGACGACATTTAAAATCAAATAGTAGAACTTTAAATATGTCCTAAAACAGCTGGTCTCTATAGTTATCATCAAAAAAACGGATGAATATATTGATTTGTTGGGACGCAATTTCCTGCTGCGGAAAATCCACAGTCCGCAGGCTGCGGCGCCCGCCTGTCTCACAGAGAGATACCGGCAGTCTTTCTTCCTGCCAGCGGCAGACTATACAAACCAGCACAGACCCCTAGTTGACCCCCCCCCCCCCGCAACAACTATGTGCCAATATGTGCCAATATATATAATGCCGTTAGATAACTGGGGAACATATATGACCCCTGGCTGCTAATACTAGACATATTATACAAGGTGTGTATTTTGTATTTGTAAAGTGGTAACTTGCTGCTGTTAAATACCAAACACCTAGTGCCAATATGTGCTAGATGTGCAATATATATAGATGCCGTTAATAACTGTGTAATATATACCTGGCTGCTAAATCCTAAGAACTGTTACAGGATGTGTATTTTTTTTAAATTATGTAACTTTTTATTTTTTATTATATCATAACTTAGTACTTTTTTTAAATGCATGTCACATATTTAACATGTAACATTAAGCTGTCTGTGGCTCTTGTACCTGCTGAAACTACGCACATTTCCCCTCCGTGGGACTAATAAAGGTATTCTGATTCTGATTTGGTGCTCTAGGGAGACTTGTGGCATTAGGATGTGTGTGTCCGGTGTTCATAGTAATGAAGGATCATGTCAACCAGTGCAGCTCTAGGACACAGAGGGAGAAGAAATATCCGGTGTTGACACATTCACTGCTGTTTTTCTTGGCATTTGTTGGTTTAAGTAAAGTAGGATGCTTTTATGGCTAAACCAGAACGCCAAGTTGGAATTCAAATGCACTAGAAAGAAAAAACTGCGCCACTCCACCTTAAACTCCACTGGACCGTAGATCCCTTCCTTCTCCTTGATCTTGCGCTGCCTCTCCCTCTCTCTCTCCCTCTCGCGCCATCCGCCCCTGGCCTGCAGGAGAGAGCGCCCTCCACCAACGCCCGCTTCCATGGAGAGAGACGCAGCCTCCTGTCAAAAGGTAGAAAGAAGACATGAATAAACTGCAGCAGAAATACAGAGATATTTAACCACATAGAACATAGACTCACCCTGGAGGGCTGCAGGGCTGTGTAGATGGCTGTGTACGGGACAGACTGGGTCTTCATGGTGCTCAACACCTGGCCAATCATCTCATCTGAAAAACACCCAGTTCATCTATTGGCTTGGCCTTACCCAACAAGTCATCACATGCAAAGAAATACTGAATGTATTTCAATTTAAAAACAAGTTACAGGTGTGTATTTATTTGCATTGCTTTAATGCTTTTACTGTTACTTTTGAATGTTCACGTTAATGCATAATGATGTATGCAACTCTCTTTCTCGTTTCTGTACTGGGTCAGACAGACTCACCGTTTCCACTGAGAACATCTTTGGCAGACATCAGATCAGCCCTGCGAGAGAAACACAGGGAGCAACAAAGACATATATGTATGAAGAGAAAGTGGAAAGAAGTAAGGGAAATGATTAGCACAACTACATTTAAATTAATTAATACATAAAGCCCAAACGTCCATTAGCGTTTCTCTCAATCTGATGCTTGCAGCTGCACTCAAAACGCCTTGTGCAGTGATTTTATCATCACTAATACTCGATATCACACATGTGGGTAATCTTTGTGAAGCTTTTTTTTCTACTTTTGAACCCAAGGAAAAGCATGAAGCTTCAGGGCTTCAAATGAATTACAACAGTGACATCTGCTGGTTTCTAAAAATGACAGCAGCACTTCAATACTGGTGCCAATGTTCTTACAACACCTCCATGTTTTTCAACAATATGAGACTAAAAGCCCCCTCTACATTCCCTTCAGGTGGAGCGGTGTACCTACCCGAAGCCGTACGGCAGCCTGAACACCAGCAGGGCGGGCGAGGAGGCATTGAGTCTCAGCTGACTTAGAGTCTCAGGATCCATGTACAGGGGAGAGGTGTCCAATTGGTCCTGCAGCTGGCCAATCACTGCATTGGAGGCAGGCCAGGACACAGCAGGTAACACCAGAGGGGAGGACGAGGACCTCAGAGCCCCCTATGGCACACGATGACAAACAAAACATCTGTCAGTGAGTCTAGTGTTCATGGTCTGTTTGATTTAAGTGATAGGAGTAGAGATGAGAGTGAAAAAGATAACATTTGAAAACATTACACTGATTTACGATGTCAATATCATCATCATACCTCCAGGTTCGGGAAAACACTGTCTTGCTTGTTTCCAAAAGCCCCTCCATACATAGTGAAGTCCTCTATGCTCATCTGGGATGGAAACAAAGAGTAACAAGCAAATCAATCAATTATACCCATCTCCATGTTTCTCTGTGAAGTTAGACAGACACATGATGGGTCTATATTAACTCTTATGCTGTTGTTCTTTTGTGGGTTGACAAATGGGACAATACCATATACAATTAGCAAACCAATAATAAAAAAGCATCTTTTGTCTCTTTATCCTATATAATGTCAATGTTACTGGACGGATTTGAATAATATCATTATTATAAATTAGGCATTTTAAAAGTGTGTGTGTACCTTATCCTGAAGGAACAGCACGACATTTCTTGGGCCCACACTCAGAGCTTTCTCCAGGTAGGAGGCCAGCTGCTGCTGCCCCACGATGTGCCCCGCTGTAGGGGGAGACTGACTCGGTACGGAGACCCTGGAGGATTCAAAGCAGTGGTGAAAGAAGTTAGTATTCAGAACATTAAACTATTTTTCATTGAACAATAATATGTACGGAGATGCCTTTAACATCTTAAAAGTATGGGTATGCAGGTATACTATTACTTCAGTTTTATGAACATGTTGTATTATTCTGTCATATTTCTGTCCTAAATCAAAAAAGGCTCGTCTTATAAGATACGATAAGATAAGAGGGACCTTTATTGATCCCCCTAGGGAAAATCAGGTGTTATAGCAGCGAAACACAAGTAGTGCACATGAGAATACACACAAGGGTATTGAGATCAAATATATAAATAACAATAAACATGTATTTACAGTACGAATAAAATAACAAAAATACCATGACTTAAACCCTGATCAGGTGAATGTATGTATACAGATATGTTGAGGTTAAATGTACATTTAAATGTGTAGGTTATCCAAATGTGGATGCATTCAAAGGAATGCTTTTAAATGAATCCACTGCAACAAAATGCGTATTACTAATAACACTGCTTATCTCTATGACAATACGGAAACAGCTTGCAGGATGACAGGTGATATGGCACCTGCCTTTCATAATAAGGATTACAGGAAAATCCCATGTTACGCTACTATATTTTAATTATTTAAAAACGCCTTTGCAACACTGTATAGTCTGCATCTTACTAAATATTATAGCAGATAACCGTCGATGACAGTTTAACGTTCATCCCAACTGACATTCAGCTAACCGTTAGCTAAACGGGAATAAGAGCGTCAAAGCCCGTTAGCCCATTCAACCGCCTCTGTGAGACGAACAAAACGAATGAAACTCAATATTACTCACCCCTCACTTGTCCACATAATAAGCGGCACCTGCTCATCGCAATTTCCCGTATTTAATATGTTCAATAAACCGAGAAAAACGGCCAAACACGCAGAGATGCTGCGGAGCTGCGGTGTCTCTTTCGTCGCCATCTTTACGATCACCCTGACAGCAGCAGGTGACGTGACGCCCGAGGATGTCCACAAAACGTGACGTCGCGTGAGGTCACGTGACGAAAAAGACGCTCTCTGCAGCATCAATACTGCAATACATGTAGTGGGAGTTCTGCACTCTGCAGTATTTCTTTTTTATTTAAAACATAAAACCGTATATGAGCAGTGTCTAAATCAGCTGCATCCAGTGCTGAAAAAGTAACTTTGTGCAATTATTAATTAAGGCAAAATGTATAGGCACTTTTAATGTTATCCTACTTTATTCTTTCATAACATTTTTCGACAGCTTCAGTTAACTTGATTTTGATCACACTTACAATGTCTCATACTGTAAGTTAAACTTTACACATTAATGCGTAAACTATTATAACTTAATTATATAACGTTCATTATTCTTAAATGGGAAATTGTGCATACCTATTTTGCATATTTTTCCTTTTGGTAATTTAAGGATATACTGATGATAATGCTAAACCTGATGTTATCCAATAGTGGTACAACAAAAGTACGACAAATACTTTACAACTTTAAAATACTTGTACTTTTCTTTAGTATTTTTTGCTACTTTATACTTTCAGATTCAGATTATTAATAACACAACTGTGATATTAAATGCATCAATAATGAATGCTGAATATTGTTATTTTTACTCTTCAGATTAAGATTGTACATTCAAATCATACAAGGATCTTATAAAATATGATGCAGTGCTTCACTATTAATGTAATATATTTTAATATGACATGATGACATGTTTTCATTATGTGCGGTTTGGATTCGGAGGTGGGTGTTAGGTTTCTCAACACACAAATCAAATTTAGAAAAGTTGAATATTTATTGGCATTCACATACAGTAGGAAATAATGGCAATCACAGTAAGGCGACACATTTGATAGTAACCACAGATCACTACGCCATGGCCGATCCTCCCTTATAAAAGTGATGGATCTCTGTGATAAAAGAAGGTATATACATCTGTAATGATGTAGCATTCACAGGTTGAATGGATCTAAAGAAATTCATCTGGAAAAGAAAGTATCTACATTACTAAAATAAAATATTTGCAAACTTAATTTAAAATGTACACTTAACATTATAACTTCACAGTTGACCCAAAGCGGCATGGACATAATAGAAGCAAATGAATCTACTATCATCATACTACCTTTTCAATGATTTACTCTGCATGCTTAAGCTGTAAATATTAACCATGCAGAACAGTGCTGATTAAAAGTCTTCATTAGATTAAGATTTATAAATCTACATCACACTGCATACTAATAAATAGAGTTTAAACAAACACCAGTTTTGTGGGCAAACAGGTTGATTCAACCCTGACGCCAGACAACACCAATATGGATCGATTCTGCTAATGTTGGGAATAAGTTCAACAACTTTTTTAAATTCTTGCGTGTAAAAACTGTAAGTGTGGATAGCAAAAGGCTGCGAAGTCCAACTGCTTTACTGTGTCCTGCTGTTATGTTGAAATATACCTGTGCTGTGAAATCAGGCGCCTGTTACTCAAAGTATGATGTAATAAGGCTGATTTCTTCATCAAAACAACCTGAGTTCATTTGGCTGCGCTGTAAACGGTTTCACCTGCTTGTCTTTTGTTGTCATTCTTATAGAAAGTAGCTACTAGACAAGTGTTTGCTGTAGTATTACACTTGCTGTTATCACCACTATCCACAGGGGACTGAATTTAGATTTAGATATTCAAGATCCAAACCTTAAAGTTATAATCATTTTCAGTGACTCCAGTCTGCTCTATCATTTGTTTGCATCTCAAGGACACACTACGTCCTGTATTGTAATCCTGAATTGTACAATCATCCAATGATTATGGTACTGGTGGGAACTGAAAACACATCTGAGCAATTAGAATGACCAGTAATTACGTAACTCTGAAGGTACTACATGCCCAAATGAAGCCGCAAACATTCAAAAAATATTTTACTCCTATAACCAATTCAGTGACTGTCTGCTTTAAGGTCACAGCTTTGATAGGTATGAATTCAAGTAACTCAATTATCAAATCTATTCTAAACGGATAACCCTGTTTTAGGATGATAGTGGATGAGAGCCTATTGCAGCAAGTGAATGATGCATTTTGCTATATAAGATGCCTGCTTTTAAACATTTACAAACAAGTTTTTGTTGCACCAACATGAATTGGAAATCTTTCCAAAACGTTGCCCAAAATGCAAAGAAAAGTGTGATCATAGGGAATTTCAGAGTGAACATGTGTGATCCAGTATAGAAAAAGGAGGGAGCGGAAAATGTGCGGATGGACTTCCAGGAGAGGAGGTGTTACCCTCAGTTTAGGGTAGAGGATCATCATGTAGCAGGAGGGACAGCAGGGACTCAGGACTGGGTCTGTATCTGCCCATGGAGGGCCTCGGCCTGGGCTTTCAGGCTTAGAAACTCCTCCTGGATAAAATCAGTCAAGGTCTTCCTCATTTCCATCTGAAAGGAAAATTAAAAGTAAATTATTCTTTAGGTTTCCCTACAACAGGGGTGTCAAACTCAATTTCATCGCGGAACACATTTTCATTATGGTTGCACTCAAAAGGGCCAGTTGTAACATTAAGACTATATAACTGAGACTGCCAAGGCTACACATATATATATATAATAATGTATTATATTACATTATTGCCTCTGCATTGGATTGTTATCGGATAGGGTAATAACTTCATAATTAACTAGGTCTGAAAGCAGAAGTCTAGGGCAAGTAATTGCAAGTCTCTTCAGTGAGAATGTCACAAAATGATTTAAAAAGAAAAGCACATTCTGGTAAAAAAGTCAAAATAAAAAAAAAGGCANATTAACTAGGTCTGAAAGCAGAAGTCTAGGGCAAGTAATTGCAAGTCTCTTCAGTGAGAATGTCACAATATGATTGAAAAAGAAAAGCACATTCTGGAAAAAAAGTCAAAATAAAAAAAAGGTATATTTTGAAGAAAAAAGGGAAATTCTGAGAGAAACTCAAATTTGAGAAGCATTTTGCTACATGTATTCGCAACGTGCTTCTGTAAATCGCCATGTAACCGTATAATAAACATATTATATTCTTTGCAGGCTCTTATGGGCCACATTAAATGAAGTCGCGGGCCGGATTAGGCCCCTGGGCCTTGAGTTTGACACCCCTGCCCTACAACAAATCCACAGCCCTTTTTTTTATTAAAAATGTCCTTTAATGATTATCACAATAGCTACATTTCATCATCCGAGTGTTTCAGCTTTACATAAAACATCAAATAATAGCTGTAGCCTTGATCCACTCCAACAAGCAGTTAGTTGCATTTAAATATAAAACGATTTTGACATTTGATCTGCCATTTCTTGCTTTGTAGCATATGAAATATAGTTACATCATTAGTCTAATACTTGGATTGTACCATTAGAAGCATTAGTTAGTAGTATGTATTAGTAGTGTGTAAATGTGTAATATGGTCTGTCCTCACCTGGCTCTTGTTTTCGTCACGGAGTGATTCAACAAGGTCTTTCAGACTGAACGGTTTCCCCACCAGGATTGTGATTCTCTGAAATCAAACCAACAGTTACAACTATACTAACATCATAAACTAAAAGTTTTAAAATATTGTTGATTAGCTCCAAGTGTTCCTACCTTGCCAGTCCGAGGAACATAGGGCTTCTCGTTTGGCAGAACGTCACTCAAACCTGAGACAAAAACACAGAAGGACAAATCATTGGTTTCTATATGAAGTTCTATCTGCTGATTTCAGACCTCTGTTGTTGTTACTTTATATTACTTTGCAATGTTTGTATTTTTACCCGTTTTTAAAAGAATAAGGCTGGGTATATTGGATTTTTCTTGAATGCCAAAAAAACTGATGGAAATATTTAAATCAACAATATTTTCAGCGGGTACTAAATCCAAATTTGGTGCATTAGGGAACATTTGTAAAAGCAGCACAGTGTTTGTAGGATTAAGTCCAAATAAAAAAAAACAGTGTATTCATGGTAATAAAGTAATGTAAAGTCTTTTGTTTTTTACAGATCTCAGACAACAATGGAGATCCATGTCGCAGAGGAGGAAGATATATCAGATGAGTTTATTTCTACATTTGTCTTTGACTTATTATTTAAAACCACAGTTATGAAACAGCAGAACAGAGATGATGTATGGTCCTCCGCATCTGTTTGTGCTGCAGTGCTGTTACTCACCCACATGCCAGAGTGGCAGGATAACCGGATTAAGGGAGCACTCTGCTATTAGTCGTCCCACACCTAAAACACAAAGCAGATATTTATGAACCACAATCCCTTTCACACTGACAACTGATTTGGCTCTGTTTATTTTCACAAATGTTAAACGTACATGTGCTTACACTGTATGCAGTATTAAACTGTACCCAAGAGTCTGAAGCGTGATTCTAAATGTCTACACACAACTAAAAACCAACGTTTGAATGCTGCACAGCTCTTTTTCCCATGTCTATTCATCCTGTTGAATTTCATCCTGTAAAGGTGGTATTTCTGAAAAATTGAAGATGAAATAGGGAACAGCTGATTTAATCCAAATGTATGTAACCGGATGATTCACTTAATTCAAGATTTTGTTAAACTACTTTTTTTGGGGGGGGTAATGACTTTGTAAAAATATAAACACAAACCATTCGACAATTAGAAAACCTGAACAGAGGATTTAAATGTTAATAAATGGGAAGTGGTCTGAATTGGCTTTGCTCAATTCATTTACAAGTGTACTCTCAGAAGTTTACAGCTGACTTCGGAAACGAGCAACGGAGAAACATGCACTGCACTCACCCCATTTTAACCGTATACATTCTTCTGTCAAGTTGATTTTGCCTGAGGAAAAACAAGAAAGGATTTCAACTAAATGTATAATAAATCAAAAAGCAAAAAAATAAGTAAGTGAGTGAGATGTGAGAAGGAACGTTAAAATACCTTCTGGAAAGATGTGAACCCATTCTCCTCTGTTCAGCCTTTCCACAATAAAATCCATGCCTTTCTGGTAAACACCGTCACCTACAAGAAAAACATCATAATGCAACCATTAACCACACAGTACATATTACATTTTCATGTCTGATACCACAACTTAACAAATCTTCTACCCCCTAAAAGAAAAGGAAATCCATGGCCAACAACATGAACACATGATATGATACTGCTGTTTTTCATTGTCCTAATAATGCTAAAAGACTCACCTCTGCAGACAGGAACACACTTTCCGCGGCTGAAGAATCTTGAGTGCAGCTCTTTAGTGAAACAGATGTCAGATGCTGCTGGAGTCCTACACAGTTACAGAGAAATAATTACACAATGTACAAAACATAAAACCAAAATGAAGAGTGAATGAGGTGTGGAAATGATAAAAACTCACCATCGCATCTTATTGAAGTTCCACAGCTGTCTGAGCTTTAGTACACCTGTCACAAACACGTGATTATTTTCCTGTTTCTGATGTTACTGTGTAGAAGTTTCTGATATCACTTTGTGCATCTGTTTCTTACCCCAGATGTGCGGGTCATCCATACAGGACTGGTGGTTGGACATAGTGATGAGGGGTGTGTCAGAGGGCCTCTGGTCCACCAGGTCCAACAAAACCTCATGGTTGTGCACCGTTAAGTAGTTCATGTACTCTGAAAATTAGGAGGGAGAAAACTTGTGAGCATATTCTTTTGAGTATACAGCAGATGTGGAAGATATATTCAGATCCTGTACTTTTACCACACTTTATAAACACTCCCTCCAAAGAAATATTTGAAATCAATACATGCGGAGAAACTTGGTTTAAAATTGGACATGAGAGGAATAATTGCACCACCGGTATGTGCTGTGTATATACTCCAACTTACTGGTCCAGAAGTAGGAATAGGAGCCCACCATCCCCATAACCAGTGAGCTGGACATCCTCCATGCCAGAGGAGGGCAATGTGGAAACGGCCATCTGACCTCCAGGGGCATCACAGCGCTCCACAGACACTACATCCACTTACACATTAACCTGGATAAAACACCAACACAATGAGAGTCAGCTAAAGGGAAAACTAAAGCAGTTTTAAATGTTTTTTTTTGTCTATTTTTAACATTTTGATGAAGGGATATGACTTCATTTTACATGTGATCAGCCTGAAGAAAAGGTTTGATTTTCTTTACGTTTCAGGTAGGAGCTTTTTTAAGAATAACCCTGATGTTTGCATGGAGATCTAGTGATAGGACATAATACATATATGTTAATAGAAGTGCAGTATCCAGTGTTTAGAGACCCGGACACTAACTAGGGATTAACATCAGGATATTTCAGCCATGTTGACCTTTTCTCTCTCAAATTATTAAAATAAAATCCCTGGAACGAAAAACTTTACTGTGTTGCGTGAATACTGTCATTTTATGAGTCGGCAACATTATAGCCTATTAAATTCATTTGACAGACATTATTGTCATAACAAAAATATTTCCAATGCATACACCGACTGGGAGCAATTCATGTTTCAGTTTCTCAAGGACACTCATCTCTCGCTTTATATACTATTTTGTCTCTGATTACTGATCTGCTTCCAAAAACATTTCTGTAAACATTCAATTTATGGGACATTTTTGATTTTAAGTTTGTACTGCAAGTTCCTTGTCTCACTTTAGAATGTTTGTTAAATGATAGCAGAACATTACCAATGGTAAATGTGGAGCTCATTTTACCTACTTTATTTACCAGGTGTTGTTTTGGTCGCCTAGCGTGTGATCCACGTTTTATCTGTAATAGGTTTTAAGGATTACATATTTCTTATTGGATGGAGTAAATACGGTATTTTCCTCTGACATGTAGTGGGGTAAAGTTAATAAAAGCGTCAAAAGGAAATACTCAAGTTGAGCAAAAGTATTTTTAAGTACAATACTTAGAGAGTTATTGCACTTGACGGGGAGTACTGTTACCTGAAGCTAAGGTCAAACTATACCGAGGCATTTAACCTTAAATCACCCAGCTGATGTTAGCCTGCGAGCTAGCTGCTAGTTTAACCAACTCTACTCCGAGACACATGTTAATACATAAAATACATTAATAAACTGGTAGATCAAAGTGTCATTTGTTGTTTTAGCTTCACGAGAGCTGTACTGACAGAACCAATCAACATTTTTACAAAGATATTTGCATTTTAATTCATGACTCTGACACCATTGTGATTTAACAGCTAAAAATAACGGAGCTTTACGCTTTTAAATACACATATAACGTAGCGTGTCACACTACGACCCTTTATCAAACGTATTTTAATACTTGAATAACTTGGGATTTAGATAAAACACCACAAGTTCAAAGATTTACCTCACCTTACTCCTGCTGACAGCAAGCTGGTGGTGAGCGACCCCGGAACTGAAAGTCACGCAATGACTTGTGGGTGTTGTAGTTTATTTTGGACAAAGCTTTTTAACGTAATAATGTTAAAGAATTAGCGTGCCGGTTTGTTTTTTATTTGTTTTTCTCTGTAACGACTTAATATAAAATGTGTCTTCCGTCATTTATATTGAATGTGGTTTACAAGCCGTTTTCCGTGTTCAGAAGGAAGAAGGAAAAGGTAAATCCATGTTAACTAATGCTTGACCTGCTGTTCACTGTTTTGAGGTCTCCTTTCAATGAGGATTACTGGAATAAAGTATTACTGTAATTTAAAATATTGTACATATTGATATGTTAATAACAATAAGATCATATCTAGTGGTTTAAAATTAGATTTATTTTGTTATGGTAATTATTCGTTTAAATAATTTATTGTTTTTCCACGTGACGTTTGAAAGGCTTTGACAACATTTTGAATATTTATGTGAGTAAGAAAAATAAATAATTTGCACTCTGATGTGTAATCAGAATGTGGATTCAAGTATCTGCTTGGCTTTACAGTCTTTGCATAATTACTTCTCATCCAAGGTTGAGTGTGTTTTGCACCTGGCCTGCAATGCTTCTTCTCAAACAGTCCCAGAACTGAACCACTCTCCATCGCTCTCTTTCTCCATTTTGCACCATCTTTTGCCTCCTTGCCTCTTGCCAACTTTGACATGTTGACTGCAGTGGATGGGGATTGCACTGGTGCCCCTTTAAATGATGGACACCAAATAAGCACTTCAGCCATGCCACACATATGTATAATTTGAAGGGGTGTGCTTATAAGTTAGTTGTTACATGCAACATAGTTTAAGCGGGTTGTATTGGTCTCTTATTGAAGTATAACACATGATACATTATATGATAAACATGCCAAAAAAAACGAAATGTATGTTTAATTGTCCATTCTTACCAAAAAGGCATTGTGTGGATCCTTGAGGTTTGGAAAACGTGTTGAATTAAATTCCTTTCTCAGACAACAGCGATCCAACTGTAGTGATCAAATTCAACACAATACTTCCGTTCCGTCTTTAACAAAAATAATAAATGTATTTGATGTGACTACACTTTTAACAAAGAAGATGCTGTGGCTTAGTTGGTCAAAGCACCTCTCTTGTCAACAGGACATCCTGGGTTCAAATCCCAGCAGTGCCTCAGGTAGGAGAGAAAGCAAGACTAAGTGTAATACCACCATGATACATTAAAACACATTTATCGCATGGTGTGTGTAGCTCCGATTAGTCTTCAAGGAACAAATAAAAAGTAGTGCTTTATCCCATGCAATTACAGTAGATTGATCTGTTTGTGAGACTTGGCGGCGAAGGTTTCATCTTATTAAATGCATATATAAATAGATTACAATATATTACTAAGAAGAAGATTTGTTAGAGTTTGGGATCTACTGTATAGGTTATATTTTTAACCATTTAAAACGTTTTCTGTTTTTCAATTTGAGCAAGTCGTGTCTTTCCTATTTTGGGTTGTATTGGTTTTCAGCAATGTGATCATTAAGTTTACTTCCATCTTTAAAATGATTTGGTTTTTCAAAATGTAACATAATGAACTTGGTAAACATCTAAGATTGTTTGCATGTTTGCTTTATGTTTTTGGAACAGTTTGTACCAATTTGATAGAGGGATCAACGCCATATAGATAGATCCAGCGGCATATAGAGAGAGAGTTAGGTAAGTGGAAGTCCAAAATGCTTGATCGTCACGTGGTTCATGGAGACTCAGATTGTTCCCGGAAGTTTGTGGCGGGCCGTTTGAATGCATTAATAACAGGAGATAGAACTGCGATTTTTGGTAATTAGTGGTCAATAAAGGTTTTGATTTGCAAGATTTATACAACATATCGACATGTGTATGTAGTTACTAATAGTAATGAGACAATAACAGGCTACAGATGCGGACATATATATACATACACATATATATTTATATAAATATGTACAATTTCAGATTCAAACAAGTATGAGAGCACTATCATAATAACACTATCTATCAATCAATCAATCAATGTTTATTTATACAGCCCAATATCACAAATGTTACATTTGTCTCAGTGGACTTCACAGTTTGTACAGAATATCTGTATGAAAATACGACACCCTCTGTCCTTAGACCCTCACATCGTACAAGGAAAAACTTCCAAAAAAGGAAAAACCCCACAGTTTAAAGGGGGAAATGGGAGAAACCTCAGGGAGAGCAACAGGGATCCCTCTCCCAGGACGGACAGACGTGCAATAGATGCCGTTCTAACTCGAAAAGATAAGACATTTACAACATAGACCAAATGTTTGGAGATGCATGTGTCTATAATAAGAAGATGAATCCACGAGGATGTCAACAATCCTGTGGGAGCCATCAGGGAAGTAGTGATGAAAGTCAGGCAGGACCACAGTGACAGGTTCACGCGTAAATAGACACCAAAAAGAAATTTGAGGAAAACTGGGTTATTTGGAACATGAGAGTACACAGGTACAGACAGAAAGAAGGAAGAAGTAAGGTGTCCCCCGACAGCCTAAGCCTATCAGCAAAACTAGGGGCTGAATCTAATCAGCTTTATCAAAAAGGAAGGTCTTAAGCGCACTCTTAAAAACGGATAGGGTGTCTGCCGCCCGAACACAAACTGGAAGCTGATTCCACAAAAGTGGAGCTTGATAAGAAAAGGCTCTGGCTCCCATTGTACTTTGAAAAACTCTAACAACCAACAACCCATTCTTGGAACGCAATGCCCTAGTAGCATAGCCGTGGGAACATGTTTGAAAAGGGGGGTGCTGTGGGGATCACATCCTCTAGGGGGGTCCGGGGGTATGCCCCCCCCGGGAAGATTTTTTTTTACATTTTAAAGTAAAATGCTTTACTTTACTTCGAGCGCCCAATTACTAGAGACTAGATCTAAGGGGTACAACTCTAAACACCCATATGAAAAAGATTGGTTTATATTTTAATAATCAAATAAGTATGTGGACATAACCAATAACCTATAGCCAATAACAAATAAATGTAACTTATTTTATTTTTGTTGTTCATTATATCTTATTTTACCATAACGTTTATTTATGCGTATTCTTTAATCTCTCAAGTTTTAAACGATATTTTTGGTTTACTGTCCTACAGTATATTGAAATGATTTCAAACCTGTTTATCCCAATAATTATAAAGGAGTGCCTTGGAAATATTTGTTTCCATAAATTGCATTTGTCTCTCTCGCTCAATCCCACGCCCACTGCTGTGAGCTGCGGATGCCTGATAAGCCAACACCCCCCACTTTCATCACTTACTAGACCCTCCAGAAAAACGCGATTCTGCGATCGCAGAATTTACCGCATAATCAGCCAAATGGCGCAGATTTTTAAAAAGCCGCATATTTATCAAAAGGCCGCATAATCCCCGCATTTTTCCACACAAAGTTGAGAAGAAAAAAAAGTTAACTCGTCTTGACGTGACGTCATCAGCTCGCGCATCACAGAATGTAAACAACACTGTATAGAGCTCATTTACCAACGAACATTTCTACTAAAGACCGGGCAAAAAGTGGGGGGAAACTATTCTGCACCCCGTGCAACTGTGTGTTGCAGCATAAGAGAAAATCGGCGGTGCCCCCTTCCCTCCGACTTAAATGTTACCAAATTCCTCTGTACACTTTCAAAAAAACAGTGAAGTTACGGGAGTTCTCGTAAACAAACTCTATAAAACGAATTATAAACAATGAAAGTTTCGTGCTCTAAAATATGCAAACGTACTTTTATAAGTAGTCCTTTGTTATCCAAAACCCTTTAATTACCGTTCAAAATTTCTTTATACTTCCCGTTTATTAGAAAGAGATGGGTGGACCAACTGTCATGCGTGAGCCCAGATTTTTAGACTTTCGGGAGGAAAGTCCACTTGTTACAAATTATGGATTTTCATCTTAGTCTATTTTTCAAACAAATGTCATCGCTTATTACAAATCTTTCTACATATTGAAAAATTTCAACCTTAACTTCAAAGATTACCTTTATTACTCCTCGTCAATGTCAATTCTTCCTCGTCAAATCGTCACACTTTTAACTCTTCTAACACTCAGACTCTTCAAAGAGGTAACTGAGGTACAATTTTTACCCCTCAAATTACCTACATAGCGACCTGTAATACTTTCAATAGCTTCACTATTTTATTTCGGTAGCTAAGGGCTGGACTGCGATTGCAAAACTAAAACTGTCTTAGCGCACAAGTACAGCCCTCTTATTGCGTTTTATTGGGGTCGCCATCGTATCAACCTACCGACATAGTCTAAGGTGATTTAATTCATTACATTTGGGCTACCTTACGAAAAGTGGGGCAATGTGAAAAGTAAACGGGACCATGCTACCGCCGACATTATTGGGAGTTTTTGCGCCGGTTTAGAATATTAATACGCCCGATTTAAGGAACCTAATACGCTAAATTTTGTAGCCCCAAATACACTAAAAATACGCCTTCAACGCCTTCAATCCTTTTGACGGGCTTTTCAAGCTTTATACGATTTATACGCCCCCTTTTTCTTTTGTAAAAAATTTATTTATCCCGACAGAATAATAAGAGGAGTGTGTGTTGACGGTGAGTTGGGAATTTTGGGAAATGATAAGGTTAATGTGAAGTACCAAATAAATAACATTTTCGTTAACCGATAAATTCAGAGTGTCGTGTGTGGGGGCAGGGGGTGTGTGTGTGTGGAAGGCGGGAGTAAGGACAAAAGTAAATGAGCACACGGACAGCAAATAGACTGGTCGAAGTAGAATCCGGTGAGTGAAGCAAAGAACATCGGGAACTTTCCCAAAACCTCCAATTTGGGAGGCCCACTTGCCTCAACTTACCGAAAGAAGAGGCGCGTCGTCTTTTCGTAAATGGGGGGGGAAGCTTCAAAATTACTTAAGTTNTTAGAGTATTGAGAAACCTCTCGTGTCAGATTTTGGTTATTTTGGGGAGGTGGAGATACATCATATTGTTTGGTGGATGCAGTTTGAACCAGAGTAG